CAATTCTAGGTGTTTGCATAATGCATGCATACATTAGCTATTAACAATTGTTTATGCAGGTAATTCAACAATTATTAATATAATTAAATACATCAAATTAAATTGAAGTATTTAATTTAATTTTTTCATTAAATGTTTGTTATAGCACCCCTATGCATCGTTTTGGCTGTGGCTGATAACAAACAGCAGGCATTCATAATCAGGTCTAAGACATTATTTGCGTATATTTATTATTTCTTTGAAAACAAATGAAATATTTAATTAAAAATGAATTTAAATAAGGTTTTTCAGATAAAATTAAATACTTTTTGCCTCTATTTTAATGCTGCCTGCTGTACCGACACCTCACACCACGCAGCCCCAACACAGCAACAGTGTGCTGTGTGGGGGGAGATATGAATGCGTGCGGTGTTGATGCATGCATGCATGTTTGGATAAATATTTTATTTTTTTGTGTAGTTTTTGGATAGAAGTATTTCATTTTGAATTTTAATTAATAATTTCTTGAAAAAAACGAAAATGACGCACAAGAAGGCAGAAGATCGCGAGCCTTTGAGCTCCTCTTCCTCTGACAGCGGATCTGATGATGAACAACAGGGAGAAGAAACCCAAAAAGAAGAACAACAAGCAGGAGATGGTTCTCAAGGATCTTCTCGTTATCGTCAATCAAGAAATGAAAGAAAAGCTAGAAAAGCGGTGATGAAACTCGGCATGAAACCCATGCCAGATATTGTCAAGGTCGTCATCCGCAAGGCGAAACAGGTAAAGAGGAAACATAACTTTTTTGCATTTCTCCTTTATTTTTTGCCTTCTTTCTTTCTTTCTTCTTTTATTTTGCTGTCTATTTACATTTCTTTTAGAAAATTACCCCAGAAAACCGAAAAATAACACCCGGGCGCAGAAGGAAGAATCATAATTTGGGGTGTATGGGCACCTCGTGAATTTTTGCAGCTTTTATCTGTTTTTATTTGCACTTTACATAATTTATGTAAATATATGTATATTTGTATATGTGCTGATATAATCATATGCGTCTTAATGCCCCTATACATTGCGTTTTTGTTTTGTACTTACTGTGGAAATCATACAACAACAGGTATATATAGTGTACATATATGTTTATATTCTATTATTATTATTATATAATATGCGAATAATGAGTGCATCGAATGCATTGTTTTTCTTTGTTTTTCCTTCTATTCTTTCTCAGGCTTGGTTCGTCGTCTCTAAGCCTGATGTCTACAAAAGCATGAATGGTGATACATACGTTATTTTCGGCCAGGCAGAGAGTATGACTCCGCAAGCACACGGTAAGCAAAAAACGAGAGAAATAAGAATATGTAAATTAGCACAAGTTGTTCAATTACACGCACTGATACTCTACACGCCTCTTCTAGATATATCTGTATATATATGTTCATGCTTATACATATATATACATCTTATGTTAAATTGTTTATAATTTGTTTATTACTTATATTTGTGTGTTTCTGCAGCAGAAGCAGCACAGCGGTTTACACAGGGTGTGATGGGATATGGAGGTCAGGATGCAGCAGCAGCAGCAGCAGCAGCAGCAGCAGCAGCAGCAGGGAAGACCGATGACAAGACAGCAGCAGCAACATCAGGAACAGCAGCAGCAGACGAAGAAGTAGATATGACGGGAGTGAATCCAAAGGATGTTGATTTAATTGTTTCTCAGATTAGTTGCAGCAAAGGTGAAGCTGTTGCAGCACTAAAGAGAAATAATAACGACTTAGTAGAAGCTATCTTAGAGCTAGCGGCATAGTTAAACCAATCAAAACTCATACAACAACAGCAGCTGCAGCAGCAGCTGCAGCAGCAGCTGCAGCAGCAGCTGCAGCAGCACAAGCAGCTGC